AGTGGTTTTTATTGGAAATGTTCTGTTGTATGTAACTCGTTATATGCTCAGGAAACATGGGTTTGTTTTTTTTTTGAGATGGTTGATCTGCTTTAATTATTTCTTCGCTGAACGAAAATTCCAAATTACTTTCTCTAATTGTTGTGATATGATGATTCATTCTGTCATATGATTTGTCCTCGTCCTTGTCCATTTGTCCTATGTTTCTTTCCTTTCCGTGAAATTTGATTGTGGTATATGTAGGAATGAGAATGAGTGATTAATGTGTTTTTATTATCTCTATTTTAGTCGTTGCTGATAGGCTCATTGTTCAAGTTATTATAATCGAAGAAAAGGTGACATTTTTTCGTTCGTTTTGATACCATCAGGATAGATGTACAAGGGCATAGATCGTTCTGTTCCATTGAGTTGAGGAGCTCGTGTTATTATTAAAAGGGATTCTTTAATTTTTAGCCTGTATTTGCGTTGTTCATTGTGCAAAATCTTAAAATTCTCCTCTGTTATTATATGATTTGTCGCGATATAGTGTTTCGTTATTGATGATTTTGGTATTCGAATGTTTTCTTTTTTTTCTTTTAGTTTGGTTTGATCCAACAGGTTATCAAGGTCCACGTGATTCAACTTAACAACAACTGGTGGGAGCTTTCCTGTTTTGGATCTAGTAAGTGGACCTGTATACTTTATTGCCGATATTCGTTGTTGTTGGTTCTTTGTTTTTCTTTGTTTACATTTCATTGATGTTGTGACTGCAGCTGTTTGAGGCAAGAATTTTTTTAGATCTAGTATGTGCTCATGAATTCTTGTTTTTAGATGGCGAAATGTTTGTCCTATGTATGCTTGGTTGCAGGTGCTACAAGTTGCTTCATATATTACACCAGATTTGAACTCATCAGCAATTGAATCTTTTAATTGGAAACCACGTCCAATACGGTCTGTCACATCATATACAACACGGATTTTTTTAAAGGGGTAGTGCTTAGCAGCTGCTGCTGTTACGCGTTTGCCGTATATTTGAGATTCAGCTCCGAAATATGGAACACGTAATACTACTGTATCAGTAGTAGTTTCTATAGGTATTGGAGGGGGAGATGATTTTTGTAGATTTAGCTGTCGTTTGATAATTGAGTTAACAAATCTTGCAGGATAGCCATTTTTAGCACATAATTCTCGAATGAGATCGAACTCTTTGTGAAGCGAATTCTTCGACGAACATATTTGAATTGCTCTATAGATTATAGTGGAAATCGCGCTATACTTGTACCTCTTTGGAACAAAACTGCTCCACTTTGTCATTAAACCGGAGAACGTTGGTTTTCTATATACACATGTATGAAAATCGGCACCAGGCTTCCTTCGAACAAGTACATCTAGAAATGGCAATGTGCGTGTAGCCGGATCTTCCTCTTCACTTGTGAATTGAATAGAAGGATGGCATTTTGATAGCTCAGCGCAAACATGCTTTGTAGTAAATTGTGAGTTGAGCAGTACAAAAGTGTCATCAACGTATCGTTTCCAGTAGACAATCCCCAACTCTTTTAATAATGATGAATTTTTTCTCTCGAATTCTTGCAGAAAAATTTCTGTAAGGAGAGGAGCTAGTGGAGATCCCATTGATATAACACCATCAATTTGATCATAAACTTTACCATCAAAACGAAAATGAGAATGCTTTGTCGCAAAGATTAATAGCTCTTTCATATCATCTCGTTTCATAATTGGTGGTATAGGTTGGGTTACATATAACGAGTTGAGAATGATTTCAATAGTTTCGTTGATTGGTACATTTGTATATAAACTAGAAATATCGAATGATACCATGCGATGTTTGGATAAATCCTTCGATAATGTTCGCACTTCTTTGACAAAATCAAAAGAATCACGTATCATGTTTTTTTTTTCTATAATCGTCGACAATATTTGGTTAAGAGCATTTGCGAGTCCATAGTTGAATGTCCCAATCGAGGAGAGCACTGGTCGAAGGGGTACATTTTCTTTATGGATTTTTGGAAGTCCATAAAGTCGTCCTGGATACGACCCAGTAGCACCTGCAGTACTATGAAATTGATCTGTAATGTGATGTTCGTTATATAATCGTTTTAATAAATCATTCAGATGTTTCTCTCTTTTAAGTGTAGGATCTTCGGGCAAACAAGAAAACTTTGTAGAATCATTCAAAATAGTTAGCATTTTGTTAACATAATCCTGTCGATTCATCACCACAATTCCTCTACCTTTATCAGGGCGGGTAATAATTATTGAATCATCTTCTCTTAATTTCTTCAGGATAGTACGATAATTCTTTTCTTTAGAGTTGAATTTGTTATTTTGCTCTCGAAATTCATTAGCCTTATGAAGGAACGATTGAGTTAGCGAACGCAAATCAGCAGCCAATGTAAGCTCTTTCGGATTCAAAACACGCACATCATTTTTAAAATTAGCACCGGCATCCTTCAGTTCGTTCATGAATTTCTTATGATGTTGGGTGATATCGGTAACACGATGGTAAAATTGTTCAATATTACTCGCAATCGTGAGTTTATCGAGTCTTTTAGGAATTAAACCATAATCTAATCCATTAGCAAGACATTGAATTTCTTCATCAGATACTACCCGAGTTGAAAGATTTTGTACGACTTTTGAATCGTTAATTTAGTCACACTCATAACGCACACCCAAATTCCAAAGTTTTCCTCGCAAAACATTTTCCTTCTTTTTTAGTAGTGGTCGACAATACTTCATAACCATCAAATACAAGTGTTCGAAAAGGCGACAAGATAACAACTCCCGCAGCCAAGTCAACCATGATTCATATTCAATCTTCGTCCTATGAAAGTACTGGTATTTCCAATCAATTTCAACGTTTAAAAATCGACGTTGACAATCCTGATACATATGTGACCAAGTAAGATGCCTACTAGACATATTAAACCATAAAAATTTCGGAATAACACTATTCGCTCTGCATGTTTTCAAAAACCAAATATCCCAACCTATTGACTCTAACCGGAAGAATAATTTTCGAAACGTACGATAAGCATGCAATACTTCACCGCCATGATGCAACCGTAAATATGCATCAACATTGTTAGACGGAAATACTTCAACACTATCGCCAGAAGCCATTAGCATAGAAATTTTGAAAAATCTGAAAAAAAAATTCATTCATTTTCATTACCAGAAAACAACACCAACACACAATTCAACTTAAATGGTCAAGCTAACATCAGGAAATGGTCGTGGAAATGATAGAAAAACATCAGGTCGTGGAAGAAATAAAAACAACAACATTAACATCAACAAAAACTATACTACATCATCAATCTCGAAAATGTCCGTATAAACAAGGACGAAATATTGATCAATGAAAGAACAATAAAAACATAAAAGTTTTATTTATTTTATTTAAAAGATTTAATTTTAATTTAATTAAATCATTTTAATATTTTTAATATCAAATCGTGCTGCATCATCAATCTA